GTTACATAGAAGTGAATAAAAATAATATATATTTAATATTAAGGTAACACTTTTCAATAAGGTTCCATTAGTTAATGTTAGTTAATGTATTAACTATCATGAACAAACAATGAACAATACATTTATTGCAGTATTTATTCATCTTTCTTAATGTTAGTTAATGAGAATACAGTTATTCACTGTTAGTTCATGTTAATTCAGAGTGCATTAACTGTTAACAAGCACAACTGTTGATTTTAATAATGCATTAGTAAATGTTGAAATTAACATGAACTAAGATTAGTAACTGCTGAAGAACTATTGTTCATTCTTAGTTCATTAACTAAAGTAGTTACCTAATGAACCTTATTGTAAAGTGTTACCAATATTAATATAAATTCTGTCCAGTTTTATTGTGTTACTTTCAGTAAAAGTGTGTTTATTTTATTGGCTTGTGTTTTTTTTAATTCAGTATCATTAAAATTGAGTTAAATTAAAAAAGTCTTACAAAATTACTTTATATTATTTAATAAAATAATCATTACAAAGCATTTTCGGTTTTGGTTTTCGGCAAGTGCATCCAGAATTTTCGGTTTCTGTTTCGGCCCAGAATTTTCATTTCGGTGCATCCCTAGATGTAAGACTACATGTTTTATTTAATTTAATTTAAATTTAACAGTAATTTACTTTCAAATGCCCCAATTGCTGAAGGGTCTGCACAACTTTTTAGTACAATTTCAAGTTGCACTGTTCAAAATACCTGTAGTAGCACAGCAGTGCATACCTGTTTACATTTAATTAAGGTGGACTAGACTAGACTGTAATACAAATAGTTGAGTTTGCCAGGTGCATACAACATTTATGACAGGTTTTCATGAAAGTGTTGGTCAGTTTGTCTGCTTGACAATCTCATTTTGCACTGCAACAATAAAACTGAAGTGAGATAAACAAACTGAGAAATGTTTCGTTTTAGTTCAAACAGATGTTGTCAAAGTTTTCCTTTGGGGACATAATTTGAAGTTGGAAAAAGGTAATAAATTGCAATATATCGCAGAATATCGCAATATTTAAAATCGCAATAATATTGTATCGTGACACAGGTATCGTGATAATATCGTATCGTGAGGCCTCTGGTGAATCCCACCCCTAGTAAGTAACAAGTCTGTCACGATTGTTCTGACCAACTGAGGAAAAAAGCATTACCATAAATCTCACTACCAATGGTGATTGAATCTAAAGATCGGTTGGCTCATATCACATCAAACCGTGCAAATGATTATTATTGTTATACTTTATTC